TTATCAACACGGACACATATGAAAAAAATATGAAGGGGAAAAAACAACAGACAGCGAGGGATACGCACCAAACAAGCCAGTGAAAAAAGCGATGCGGACTCCAGCAGGCACATGGAAAACACAGAGCAAATTGGGAGCAGGAAGGGTGCCAGGAATGTCGAGAATTCTGTACAAGGGGTCCTGTCTAGAAATGCCTGTCTAGCTATTTCAGGTCCTTTTGAAACTTTCTTGGAATTTATAGTTTGCATTGCCCCCCAGATGTCTTAATAACTGAAGAGTTTTGTGTCAGATATAATCAAAAAATTAAATGTTAATTATAACATAAAAAATAATACATTCTATTTGATTTGTATTTTATGTAAGAAATCATAAGTTTTTGATTCCGGTTTTGATTTATTTTAATATTCTGATAAGTCAAGATAACCTTACAAGATTATTTAAATAAAAATTATTTTTAAAACTAGTCATCACTGGTTTTAACTGACATGTAAACTGAAAACCAAAAAAAAGCGCGCCACGTGCTTACGCCCAAATAAAAAACACCAATAAATAAAGCGAAGCAGATAAGGCCTAAAAGAAGGACTCAGCTCAGCCAGGAGGACTAGGCAAACAAAAGGATGTTTGGGTGAGCCGCCTACTTTCCCAGAAACTGGAAAATCTGATTTCCTTTCTGGCAAAGATCATTAGGGGAACACCGCCTACAAACAAGGCCCCGTGCAAATATTTGCCACGGCATAACAACTAAATCTGCGCTTGGGAGAAGATGTTGCAACATGGCCTAATCCCAGATCGTAATGTCCTAAGCCGGCTCCGGATTAAATTGGCTTAAATGGGACCTAGAGCACAAAGGTGAAATGTATACAGTTCATCAAGGATTGATCCTTCGCATAATTTTGCGTAGTCTGTGGCTGGCGGGAAAACCCCAGAAAAGAAAAATGCGAGCCGGAAAACGGAACTTTCCTCCGCCGGAGGCGACCATCAATCATCGTCAGGCTCCGGGGCACATTAGCATTTATGAACTTTTGGCCAAGTTGATTTTTTCCCCGACTTGCCAAGGGCCAGGATGGGTTGACTTTAATAGGATTTTCCATAATTTCATGCGCTTGTGCATATTTGGCAGTCAATTAATGTCAAACTAGTTTCAGCTCTTGCCAGCAATCGATCAAATTTTAAATGCAACCACCTCAGGGTTGGTGCAATGAAATAATTTGACATTATTCATATGACCCGAATGAGTTTATGAGCGATGACAATGAGGTAACCTTATTAAAACGGAGCATAGGGAAAGGCACGTTTGAGGTGTTGATTTGGTCCGATAAAGAAGTTGTGGGAACACCTTTTGCCAGCCGTTAATGATGCAGTTTTTATTACAGTCCTCATCAATTTGATATGGTTTTTAGGATACAGTGGTTCAGCCGGTTGAAACTAATCTAGAAATTCATGGGAGAACTTCTTAAGATGTTGCCCCTGAGAAGTTCTTAATTAAGATTTCGGTTTTGATAAGAACAGGGAAATTGAAGTCTTCATGCTCGGGAAAAGTTGAATCGTTTTTATAACAAAAATCAGTCAGTCAGGTGGAGAATATTTTGTAAATAGGTATAATAAGTGTAAAATAAATAAATAAATACATTATATAAAAAGTTAAAAAAGTAATTATTAAAGCTGTTAATCCTTTTTTTTCAAGTTGAAGAAATTTAAAATCATGTCCAGATTAACAATAATTAATCCGCTTCGTAATTGTGCCAAATCCACTTTACCCAGTCCAAGTTTCTTCTGCTATAAACATTTTTAAACCTCACAAAGAGCATTTCATTAAGTTAATTAAAACAAACCGAAAATCCCCAACCAGTCAAATGCAATTTTGCAACTTCGTTTCCCAGATTTTTTGCGCTTTGCCATTATTAAAAGCGGTGTATTAAATGCCATTTTGCATTGTGAATTTAATCCAATTGTTGGTTTGGTGGTGGTTAAAAAAGTAAGGACGGCTGCAAAAAACACAGAAATAACAACCAAATAGTACGGTAATTAGTTAATTTATAAATATCATATCAACTGCTCATTTATGAATTCAATTAATGTTCGCAGACGCGTGACCGAAGTGGATTAAACTCTAATTTAATAACCCATTCGGTGGGTGGCAAAAAAAAACACGCTGAAACACAAAGTGTTCGAACTTATTAAATGGAAACCTCAAAGCGGTTGACAGTTGCTGCGCAATGATTTACACCGCAGAACTGCCAATGGGATACGGATAGGATATGGTCGAGCAGTTGCCGACACATGTCGGTGGGTTCGGTTGTCCACAATCCAGCAATCCAGGATTCCTGCCCACAGATGCGTTTACAACTCACCAGAACGCCCTTTTGGAAATTCCGCATATGTCATGGATAGATGACTACTTAACCCTTTCATGCCCACTGTTGCCTACAGGCAACATTGACTTTTTGAAGTTTAAATCGGTTACGATTCAAAATTTTTGTGGATTTTTTTTTATAGGCGATTCCCCTTATTAATGTTGTTTAATTTTTGGTAATTTTGGCGAATGCAGCTGCAGCGTGTGCTGAGTTATCACTTATGATTCGAAGCGACCACAGCTGCCGAAAAATTTTACCAAAAAGTGTCCGTGCAAATAGTGCGATTAACTAAAATTAGTGACAAATACTAATAAAATAAGTACGTACATATCTTTAAAACAGGTAAGACTATGATAAAAGTATAAAGTTGGGCTTGAAAATTGTTTTATAAAGAGTGTGGATCTTTTCAAAGGCCTAAATGCAACCTTGCAGTAAGGACATACCAAAGGACTTAGAGTATCGAAAATCGATATGAACGTTACTTGGGGTTCCTATTAATCATTTATGGCGTTAAAAATTTTCTATGTGTCCCCAGATTAATTTGGGCATGAAAGGGTTAAGGGAGCTGTCAATTGCCTAGGATAATGTTTTGCCCTTGTTGTAATTTATGCATATACCGATCTCAAGTGGATCTGCTTCTCGAAACGCGTCTGCTCACATCTGTGTAACCCTAGATCCCACAACGCCCCCCAGCTCCCGATGCTCCTCCTCCTTCCCCCGGTTTACTTATATCCCTTGTGGTTAGGCCCATGCCAAATCCCGGTATAATCACATTGTTGACTGCAACTGCAACTAATTACAAATCAATTCGAACCAGCCCCCAAAGGCAAATGAATTCCGGGGAGAGCTGCTTTGGGCTAACCGCAACAGGAAGCGGGATCGCTGGGAGAACCTCCTTTAACACCTGCCTGCACCCCATTAAAATGTTATATGGCCAGTGTCAATGCCAAGTTTAAAAACACGGCATACAAAAATAAATTGACATCCCAGGCTGGCCGTAAATCAAAGGAGACAACTTAGACATTCAGCCATGTTGAAGTGACGAAATAAGCAGCAGAGTAAGTCATAAAAAGTCTGGAATCTAGAGGAGATGGATCACATTTGATGGTTGTCTTTTACGATCCCACAATTGAGATATAAGGAAGATGGAGATATGAAAGGTCTGTGGAGGGCATTGTAGATTTGAGAAGAGATACATTTAAGGAGGAAAAGATGGATCACTAATGATGGATGTTATTTTAAGTCATTCGAGATGGGTGACTAGGATATTATATGTTGTTGAGGGCTGAAAAGAATCTTTTAAAATCTTAAAAAAAATATTTGACTTTATATTTGATATATATAATAATAATAAATCACATAGTTATTTTTTTCACAATATTAAAACATTCGTGAAAGAACACAAATAATTGGATAGGTAATAAAAGAACCATATTTATACAAACAATTAAGGAACCTCTTGGCAAATATATTTTTGGGATTTAACCTACCCAGTTCACGATTCTTTTTGTACTCAAACTCCAACTCTTTCCACACATCGTCTAAGCTTATTAGTACTCAAGTTTCTGAACCTTTCTCAAACAGTGGCGTATATAAGCACTTCAGCTTCGATGCCTGACCATTGTTCGAGGATCTCGAGGAGAACAGAAGAATCATTTGTCTTCTAATTATGATTTCAATGGCTTGGCAAAATCAAAGAAGGCGTAATTCGCTCTCACCATTCGCCGGGATTCGTTTCGGGGGGCTCCTTTAAGGCGGCAAATCGAATCAAAGAAATAGCAAACAAACAAACAAAAAACACTCAGAACAACGGAAAAGGAGACTCCTCTATGGCATTGTTGACAGGCCGCCGAAAAGAAGGATACCGCAGAACACACACACACTCAGACAAAAGGACGAGAAGCAGGGGCAACTTCATTTGCACAAAAGGAGCGGAAAAAGCGATCAAAGAGCCAACAAAAAGCGAATGAAAGAACTCAAGAACATAAAGCCGGGGCATCATCACATGTCCGACGTGAGGTAAACCCATCCGAAAAACCCCTAAGCAAGCCAAAATCCAAACCAGATCCATGCGGCCAGCTTAGGACTCCTTTTTTTTTAATTTTTTTGGCATCATCTGCTTTGTTGCCACCACATTGCGATGTCGTCGTTAAGCGCTTTAAGCGAAATTAAAACATTTCACGCCGCAGCAGGAGGTGGCTTCAAAATTCCGAGGCACTCAAAGCAGTTGAGGTGGAATTTCAATATATCCATTAAATCAAAACTGCGCAGTATTTGCAACGCAAAAAAAGGGTGTACTTTCATCCTTACAATTTGCCCCGTAAAACGAAAACATATCATCGCTTGATATTATTTTACAAAATTAGAAAAAATCGCGAACTGAAAAAGTGGTTATTTTTATTGTATTTAAAAAAATTGAAAATATTTTCTTATGGATCAAAATATTGATTAAAAATTATTTTACTCTTTAAAGTGGAGTAATCATAATGTTAATACAAATACAATATGTACCATAAATGGTCAAGCTAAGATAAAAATGACTGTACTAACCATTTAAATGTTATTATCAAAGGGCAAAAACTAATTCTTTTCCTGTGGCTGAGTTCGAGATTTAAATGAAATTTTTTAATTTTCCAACTTTACTATTCAGAGCACAATGCTTATCAGGTCCAGGGCACTATGTTCGCAGTGGGCCACGTATTCGGAGCAACCATGGCCATGCGTGCCCGCATCGGAGGCCTCGTACAATCCGTCCACGTGCTGCAGTTCCCACTCCGCTGAACTTGTCGTCGGCCTGCAAGGAGATCGGGGCAAAGGAGGCCATAATTAGTGGCGACCTGCGACCCCTTCAGATGCGGGGAGACTCACATGAATAGAATCTGAAACAGGCTGCCCAGTAACCCGTTTCGGGCATCCAGGGGCGATTCGCTGACCTCGCAGATAGTTCGCAGTAGGCAGGCCGAGCCATTGAATCCGTAGTGGGTCAGGAAGTTTATAATACTGCGGTAGAAGTCGTGGCGCCTGAAGGGAGGTGGACTTCCCACCGAGCGACGCCTCACCTCGTTGTCCTCGTCCTCGGGAAACTCTCCTGCATCCTGGCGAGCATTTATCGGTGTCACATTGCCGCCAACGCCCATAAAGTGATTGTCCAAGTCCCACTAAAGTTTGGGTATAAAGATACAAAGGTACAGAAAATTAAAAAAAATATTTAACTAAACTAATAAAACAAAAGTTAATATAGGTCTTCATTTATTGTTCACATCCAATCTTACCCTATCAATCCACTGATTGTAGGAGTCATTCGAAGGCAGTGCATAATTGGACTCAAAGTTGAAGGCCATGTAAACATTTTTGGGTCCAAGTTCCAGCGGAATTGCCACGGCAGCCAGTAACTAAAAATTGTTAAAAGATTAGTTACCAATAAGGAGGAGCTCCCCAATAATACTCACACCAAAGGATCCCTGACGTGGGAAAACCAGAAAACAATTTGCTAATCCCAAACCCAAAACCAAAGCCACACCCAAGTAAAACCCCCAGTGAAAGGTAACCATCTTGGCCAAAGCTCTAAGCCAACTAAATGCAGTTTGCAAAAATTGCAGGCTGCACAAACGATGGGCGTCAGAATTGGCATCTCCAATAATAAACGGGTGAGAAGTGGCTTACGGTACTACGGAACTGTTGGCAAGACAAGAAAACCGGAATATGCAAGATTTACACGGTTACCACTTGACCCCGTCTCCATCCAAATTCTGTTGTCTATTCCCGAGGTGCTAATTGCCAGAATGTGTAACATTCTCGGGCGAGAAAGTCTTCTTGGCTCGATTGACGGAGCCGTTTTTATTGAGAAATTAAAAATTAAAAATTCGTGAGCCAGAAAAAGAACACCCAGAACATGGTTTAGTATCTTTAGGTTTGAGCTGGCATAAACACGCACCGAGATTCGCTCGGGCGTAGATAAAAAAAAAAACAAAACACAGAAAAATGAAATTTAGAATAGTAATAATACTGGGAAGTTGCCTGATTTACCAGGTGATGGCCAACCTGGGAAGTCTATCCAAGCATCAGAGGAGTAAAAGAGCTCCCATACCGTGGCTTATATTCCCAACCACATCACCCACACGTGTTATGGTAAACATATAGAATAAATAGTGATATATCTACTAATGAAACCTATAATTCTTTTTTCAGTTCATTGGCGGCATAGGTATTCCACTGGAGGACCTCAACTACGAAGCAGTGACCACAGGATATGTCTTGAAAGTGGAGTATTGGCTGCCCATCACTCCAGATGATCTCAGGACTCCCACATCTATGCCCCTGAATCAAGTGGCCACACCTGGAATCACAGGAGCCAGAAAGCGAAACAAACCCATGTTTGAGAATTTCCTGGTTGGAGTGGATGAGCTGGGAAAAAGCACCAGGAAGCTGCTGACCAGAACCAACAAGGTTTTGAGCAGCTATCGATGGACAGTCTACAAGGGACTGGAGGGATTGGCCGATCGATTGGGTTACCAGGGAAGGATTTGTGTTCTAAAGAGCATCTGCGAGGCGGCTGAAGAACCCTTTCACTACACAAATGGGTTGTTTGCAGACCTTTTGCATATACTACTAACGTAAGTGTAAACAAAATGAATCCTTCAAGAGGAAAACCATCTTATAATAACTATTTCTAACCCACAGACCCTCCTCTTCAGTGGACAAATTGTCAGAACATGCTGACAATGAGTATTACTATGCCGAAAAGGTGGGACAATCAGGTGCTGGTTGTGATCGAGTCTTCAAGGAGTGTCGACTAAGTCTACTGCAACACTTTAGCCAGCTCCATCACAATCTGGATAAGATATTGTTTTAAGGGAATAAAGGAAGACTAACATGATACCAAAACCTTTCGCTCAGTGTTCTTTGTGGCAACGGGTTTTTTGGTGAAAGAAACAAATGTCGGTCTGCATTGTCGAGTGTTAATTGAAAGAACGTGAAGTGCTAGTAGAGCTAAAAAGCTCACAGTGCCTTTTAAAATAATGGACCCAGTTCCGATCGTGACTAAAGTGTGCCATATTTCCTGCAGTTAATGACACTTTCGGTTTTCGTATTGAAGAAAGTAAGAATCGGATTCTGCTGGTTATTAAAGTTGTATCTTTTTGGCGTTTGCTAATTTAGTCATGAGTCTTCATTGGAGCTGTGAAGTTATTGTGAATTAAAGAATATTTTTAAGGATTTTATCATGAGTTTAATACTTTCATCACTGATTTTATTTATTGCCTTTGCATGTGTTTTTGGAAATAACGATTTTAATGATAATCTGATTAACAGTGATCGTGATATTTTGGTGAGAAAAGCTCGATGGCTTCCATTAATTTATCCTAGAGCAAATCCTACCCGATTACAGGTTAGTACACAAAAGTTCAAAACGAAAATTTATTATTAAAAATGAAGAAAGGTGTTCGTATAAATCACTTAATAACTATTAAAAAATGTTTGAAAATTAAGGGATGCTGAATGCATTGAAATTTTTTAATTAATTGTAATTATTTTTAATTTTTTAACTTATAAAATTTCAGATGATTGCTGGCTTTGGTATTCCGGCTGAGGATCTCAAGCTAGAATCTGTGATTACGGGTTATGTTCTTAAGGCCCAATACTACTTGCCATATTCCGTGAAGCAATTAAGGACCAAGGATGTGCACGAAATCTCAGAGCGAAGGCTGCCGGGGAATGCCACAATCTTTGATAAAGTGATGCAGATGTCTGAACAAAAACTGGGAATGGATCCCAATATCCTGCAGGAGGATCTCCAGGCCCTTGGCAGTTATCGATGGTCAGTCTACGAGGCTTTCACGGCATTGGCCTTTCGAATGAAGCTCAATGGCAGAGTCTGTGTCCTGAAGAGCATCTGCGAAAGTGCAGCGGCTCCCTTCGACGATCGAAATGGTTTGCTGGGCGAGGTGCTTCACATCCTGCTCACGTGAGTTTACGATCGTGGGATCCACTCCGACTTTATAACCCTTTCACCGCCTTTTCAGACCTTCTAGTTCGGTGGATCCCCTTTCGGAGCACTCGGACAACGACTACCTGCAGGCTGAGCGACTGGGAGCAGCTGGTGGCGATTGTGATCAGGTGTATCCGAGGTGTCCCAAGTCCCTGCTGGAGCACTTCAGCGATGTCCATCACCTGGGCAGCGAGTTCCTCAGCATGTTGGGCTGAAAAAGTTCTTAAATTGAGGCAATTGATTGTGATATTTATATAAATTAGTTGATTGGTAAATACAAATGTTTAACTAGTGAAAATTTTAATAAATATAAAACATTATAAAGTGCAATTTATCGGTTACCAATTTCATGTGAATAAAAACCAAAGGGTTTTGTTTGTTAAGTACAACCAAAGACTATAGAATATCAAGATGTTGCATGACCTCAAAAAAATCGTTCTATGGTGGGTCTTGATATGGAGACCCACATGACTTTGCACTTTTAAAGGCAGCTAAGACCATATACTCAATTAGTTCGCCGCGCTTCATGAAGCCCGGTGGTGTTGTGGTAGATGCTATGCCTCGTGTACATGAAGGCCCGGGTTCGTATCCCCGCCGAGCCCCCAGCCATATCATAAATTGTTTTTTTTTTTTTTTTTTTTGTGTAAATTAATTAATTATTTTATTTTTACATTTTTTTTCAATTTTTTGCTTTTATAATTTTTTTGCGTTCATGCAAGTGGTGAACAGCCTGATACAATTATACAAGGTAGTCCACTCGGCAAAATCCATAGTCCCCTTATTTAACTTTGTCAAGTAAGTGTGAGTGAAACGGCTACATTGTGCTTCAGTTTGACAAGCAGGCACGCACTGAAAATAAGGGACAAAAACCGAACGACTTCGGCAAGCCGAGTGGACTACCTTGTATAATTGTATCATGGTGAGCAGCAAAATACCCTAACACGCGTATGTACATTCGCATGTGTGAAAATTTAACGACACAATTATCTGAATAAGGAACATTATTAATATTGCACCAAAGAATTCTTTAATTTAATTATTATAAACGAAAAATTATGATTTAAATGAAAATTAAAGAAAATAAAATATTAATGCTTTACAAATCTGATATACCCTTCTACTATTGTAAAGTGTATAAAGCCCGATAAACTGAAAATTGTCAGCTATGAACAAATTCCCACTTTGGGAACACGACGAATATTAAAAACGAAGACGAAAGCCGAAAGCAGCAGTTCGTCGTGTTTCTATTTTTAGATTTTCCCTTTTCACCCCGACCGACCGCATCATGAAGCTCGAAACAGAAACGAAAAATTTTTTGTATGGGATGCAACATCTTGATATTCTATAGTCTTTGGTACAACTTTCTTAATTAATTTTATTATAATAGATAGAAAAGTTTACAAAACTAAACTAATTTTCTTAATATTAAGGAAATCATTCTTATTTGCTTAAATAACCAACAAGAGCTTATTAATATTAAAATTCTTACTTAAGCTTTCAAAACATTATTTAACTTTAAATATAAAACAAAATTTTGAAATTAATTTTTTGTAATTAGTTGTTTTGATTTCTATCTCCACATGGGTTTATTAGAAGATTGTCGGTTTCCGTATAGGCCCTTTCTGAACTCTGAGAACACCCAAGGCCCATGGCACTTCCTCTCCGGTTGATTTCACCGGCAGGGCGTGAAATTTATGCAAATATCCACATAATAACTCTTTTTGTTCTCCTGTCCTGGCCTCATCATCATCTTCGGATATTTCTCCACGCTCGGGTGGTCTTTTCTCCTCTCCGGCTATCAAAGTGTACGCATCTGCCAGGCAGCCCGACTGCTGCCTCTTTAGGGCCTATTGTCTTCTAATTCAATAATTACAGCCCGAGCTTTGGCTACCGGGGAATGTTTGGGGACCCACCACCGTCTTGGGATCTGTGGGTCTTTCGTCTTTAGTTTGTTTGCCCGTGGTACCTGGGACAAATAGGCGTTTAAATGCAAATGTCTGCGCTGTAATTAATACGCATAATACGCGTATTATGCTAATGCCAATGTCATAATGACTCGAGGAAACCCGAAAAGAAAGACCAAAAAATATGCATTTCACACTCGACTCGGGGTTTTCGGGCTCAGTCATATATTCATCACTGGCGGAGCTGCATGGTTAATGCCCCTACGTACTAATTAGCTTTGACAAAATACACAACCGAAAACAAAGCCACTAAAAATTAGTAGCCCAGTGGCTCGACGGGCAGGGGACTTTCTCTAACGAAGTCCCAGTTCCCAGACAGAGGCACTTGTCCGCGATGACAAACTCGCGATAAGCGAGCTGGAATATATATATTTTGACAGGAGCTCTGACTCCAGTCATCTGGGGTCCAGACTTAGATCGGGATCATGGGGATCCAAAACATAAACTAGAGCCCAGATGCACCTTTCACAATTTTCATGTTGTGTTGTGATTACCTTTAACCCCTTTACATTTCCCCTATATATATATTTTTTTTTTCTAGTGTGGGGGAGAAGGGCAATAATTTTCATTTTCATTGCCTTTCTTTGGAAACAATTTGTAGGAACATGCAACTTAACGAAGTAATCAGGGGAGATGGGGATGGGGAGATGCTTATCCGATGCCAGAGAGCCAGAAAGCCAGCCATCCAGCAAGCGACAACTATTTTATGGCCTTATGTGAGGAGGATGCCGGCACTCGGTCTTCTTTATATGGCTGGGATTGCTATTTTTGGTAACCCTTTTGGCTGCCTCCGGGCACGAAAGTGGGTTACAGTCATCGTCTCCCCCGCACAGAGCCTGGAATTTATGCTGCGTAATAATTCTTGGTCCACAACTAAGTTGGTAAAAACAATGTTACAAATTGTTGTGCTCGTACCTGGCGGAGAGCTGCGTATGCAAATTTTCCCGACTACAAATGCCAACTATGTGGCGGTTTGCCCAAATGGGGTGGTCACCCATTGGTGACCCCGACCCCGTGCGCCACTAACTAACCCACTGCCACCCATTAATTTCCCATCAACGGGTTTTTACCGTCGCTTTATCGCTCTATTCGAAATGACTTTTGATGGCATTTCCACTTGATCTATATCGCTACTCGAGTTTAACGTTTACCAAGTTCCCTCCAAAATGGGGCCCATAAAATTACACAGATCTTATCGGAGATTTCGTATATTTCATGCTAATTAAAACGCCCAGATATTTGTTTAGCGATAAACAATAATTAATTGTGCTTATTTCTTTTCTCTTCCCCCAGACATCCATTCACCTGTTTCCTGATTGAGTTGTATCTATGTGGAATCAGTTTCAGTTGGTTTCGGGCGCAATAAACCAAATCAAACCGTGGGATGGAGCCCTTTGGCTGTGGCTGCTCCCCCACCGCCACCATGACGTATGCACATTGTCATCATAACTCTGGCCATTGTGTCTGATTCCGACTCCCAGATGCATATATATATTTTTTCTTTGGTTTGCATAATGCCGTCTGGGGGATGAGTGAGTTTCTGCGGGGGCGTGTGTGTGAACTGCAGTTTATTATTTAAACAACGTGACTAAATTTACGAAGTGCCAAAGGAGAACGAGTCTCAGGGAGAGAAAAACACCCGCAGGTGGTAAAACAATAATAGTAAACGTTGCCACAATGGAACAAGCCATAATGGGGCTGGCGAAAATAATGGAGGTTGCAAATTAAATTTTAGGTGGCAAAAATGGTTGCCTATGGAAATAAATGAGAACATGACTAATTACGAAAGCATTAAATATTTGCACTAGAAATTAGTAAAGTTTTTTCAGAAAGTAAAAATATTTTAAAGTTTTTCTGAGGATTGTAGAGGATTATAAATACTTTTCTACTCGGTGTTTTCTTTTAAGAAATACCAGTATGAACTACCAAATATTTTATATTTTGCAAAATTACATAATTTTTTTTTTGGTCTTTCTAATAGTTTTTTTTTTTTTTTTTTTGTTTCGCACTAATTATTTTTAATTTATTATTATTAAGTTCCATGAACCTAAGAGTTAGTTAGAATCGCTGTCCAAATTGCATGGCATATTTTATTTATTTAAGTTCTATATTTTGAGCTCCGTTTTTCAGAGTTTTTCGCGTGGCTTTATTTAAAGTGCTTCCCCAACAAATATGTCTTGCACCACTGTGCATATCTGTGGCTTGGCATATGCAAAGTGAGCGTGGCTTTGGCCCCAGACAATTTTCGCATGATAAATCGTTAAAGGAATATGAAAAAAACGCGCGAATTGTAACAGAAATAACAAACAAAAACGGAGCGAACCAGAGCCGGGGCAAAAGTGCGATGAAGGAGAGAAGATAGCAAGGGAGTCGAAATGGTGGGGGGATCACCTCAGCCCCCTCAACTCCGCCCCTGTCTTTTGTTTATGCAAAAAGCTTCGCGGAATTGGCGCTACGTACGTGCCAAAGCATTTCATGGTCTGGCAACTTAATTCACCAGGATGTCCCACCCCCCTCAACCGAAACCATATGTTTCGAGGAGCCCCCCCTTCCGCCACCCATGCGGGTTCCACTTCCATTCATCTTCTGTTCGCCGGTGTCTGTGCTAGTGTTTGTTTTTCCGTGGAACCCATACCCGCCAGCTTTTCTCTGGCGCTCACGTGTAAATTTTCTCAAATAAATCATTAAAAGCTGCGCAGCAGCCGCAGCACATTGACATTGTCAGAAGCTTTGCACCCACTCAGGGGACAAGGTTCCCCCCCTTTGCAAACCCCCTTTTCGGAGAACCTTTTTCTTCCGGCCTCTGTCTTTCGGAAGGCCGCTCTTTTGATAGAAATCAACGGGGGAGCTCTCATTGTGAGTGCTCAAGCCCCCCACTTATCTGCAACCCCATCCCCATCCCCATCATCATCACCATCCTTCGCAGGCTCAGGTGCATCTATTCATAGATCCTTTGGATTCCTTCATAAAGCACCGTGCCATTGCACTCACCTTTTATTTGCTGGGATGAGCGTGTGTGAAGAGGTTAGTTAGTGGCACTTTAGCGCTAAAGTTTATACATAAATTTGTCATTGGCATTCAGTTTGCTTCACATATTTCCCATCTGGCCCCTACATCACCTGTGCACTTTCCTGCACCGAGGAAAATGTCAGTCTAAAGAGGAGTAACGTCAATCTACGGTGAGGTCTAATTAGTTTATGAATAACCACTATATCAAAGGTTAGCAAAAGTTGTAGTTTAATAATTTATTT